TTTTTAAAAATAATCATGTGTATCTGCTACTAGAAGTCTTGTGACATGGAAGTCAAGACCAAATTAAATTAAACACAACCCCTCCCTTATAAAAAAAAAAAAAAGTATGGAGATCAGCATAGCACTGGGTATGTAATCTTTTGGGCCCAATGGGTATATTTAGAGTCTCTCATTAAATGCCACTCCCCTACCTGGCACAAAAAAGCCAAAAAAGACAAAGCTCTCAGGAAAGAACTCAACAGCGAATTGCAGAGAGATGTTAGCAGAGACAAGAAGCAGTATCGCAACAATATCTGTAAAGGCACTGAAGGAAACAGACACAGAAAAACTGATATGCTGAATATATATTAAGGAAAGCTGGATTGGAAGCAAATGAGTATGGTTCAGAAACTGAAAGAAGAAACATCAACCTGCACTGTGCTGATGGCTCTATTCTGAGAGCTGAAAATGCAAAGGAACTTCAAGCTCTAGTAAGAAAAGTCAAGAATGGTGCAAAAATTGGACTAAAATTAAATATAAAGAAGACTAAGCTAATGACAACAAGTTGGACTTTGAAGAAGCAGGATAGAAAGAATAGTGATGCTTTTGGACATATCGTTAATCAATCAATCAATCAATCAATCAATCAATCACTATGAATAGATGAAATAAAAGACAGCTATCCCAAAGGATATTTATTTGTGGAGACACTGACTGATAGTTCCCCAACTTTTTTGAAATTCCAAGTGCGTCAAAATGTATATATTGCAAAATGATTCCATATAAATCCATAAAAAGCATCTATATAAGAGCCCAGGACTATATCACCATTGACCTAGCTACAATTAAAGCCATTTCCATTGCTAATGGGAAAGCCATATCATTCAACCCCTAAGGCCATTTGGAGTAAGTTCAAGTTTTCGCAGACTTTCTGAATGACAAAAGGGAAGGGGCCATTCCAATATCCAAGGGGGATGCTACTCCAAAGGAAGGGAGCAAAAGGCATGCTTCTGTTGCCCTTTGGGTAGACATGTGTTATTGGGATATAAATATAAATGGGAGATATAAATATCTATATCTCAATGAAAACAACAAGAAATAACATTTTCTAGGAGAAGTTGATTGCAAAATTATGCATATTAGGAAAATGCATATGAAAATATGTACAAATTGTTGTGCCAACCTTTTAAAAATAATGAACTGATACTGTAATGGGATATAACAGAGAAAGGAAAAATGGGAGACATAGAAATTAACATGGTTGTATATCCCTCAGGAAATAAAGGGAAATAAATTATTTGAACCAGTGTCTGTATGTCCCATTTGACTCTTACATTACATTTGTAGTAAGAAAGAGGGAATGTATTCCTCAGAATCCCAGCAGCTTCATTTTAATACAAACCAGATAATAATCACAATTTTTGACAGAGGAACTCTAGCTTTTAATAGTAGACTACATACCTGACATGAAGAAGTATGTTTCTAATTTAATCCTTGGCATCACTATTTAACTGGACTGGGTTTAGGTGGCGGGGGGTGGGGGGGATCATCTGCCTGAGACCCTGAAGGGTTACCTCCCACCAAACCAGAAAATACTGGGCTAGATAAAGAATTGGTATGACCTAGTACTGTACAAAGAGGCTTGTTCTGTTTTCTTTGAAGTTAAATGACATATTTCGTGTGGTCAGATTACTTCTTCGCAGATATTATCTCAGCCTGAGAAGAAAGTGGATCTGTTATGGCCACCTACTAAGTGAGATTTTAGCCAGTTGCTTCCCAGCTCCCACTCTTAACTTTCATGCACTCATGCACAGAGCTTTCATGTATGGGGGAAATCTGATTCTGTGTACCACTATTTTGAGACAGTAGCATCAGACCTCATTGCACCAAAATACAGAGGTAGCACATTGAAGCAGACATCCAAAATTCTTGCTATATCCAATGGTCAAACATTGTCCAATCATATCCAGGGGTCCAAAGTATTTATTTGATAGAAGTATTAATGTCCTATCCCAATGTAATTATGTTTATATATATAAGGAACAGGTGAAATAGATGTCAAACATAGAAAACATAGCTACCAATAGGACAGAATATGTGTAGCTCAGGGTTGAACTGTGGAGTCCTTGGGGTTCTCTGAGCTTGGGTTGTTTTCCTGCAAACATTTTGTTACCTGGCTAGGTAACATCTTCAGTGCTAGAATGGAATGGGGTTGCTCTCTGTTTATACGCAGTGGCATGCCCTGCCAGGGTTGGTGGGGGTGGGGGTTTTGTTTTCTTTTGTTTTGTCCTCTGGTAGTTCCTTGATTAGGATATTGTTTACTGCTTGATTGTGTGTTGGTGATAATCTTGGTGTTAATCTCTATCTGGGTGATGATTGCTGGTGAGGAGATGTTCTGGTCTTTTGCTCTCC